ATTTAAAGCAGCCAAATACTCTAAGTGCATGTTGATTCTAAATGTGGAGGGAAAAACCCGAGGACCCGGAGAAAAATCCACAAGAGCATGGGGGAGAAAGACATGCAAACTCCATATATCCAGCAGGCATCAGGGTTGGGATCAAACCCACGACCGACTGTATACCAGGTGAGGTCGTATACATCTCGGCATTGTGGCACTCGAAGAACGTCGAAGCTGACCTTCATTTGAGCTCCACCGCACTCTTCGTGCCCTCTGCTTAAATAGAGATTGAAAAATCATCTTGTTAGAACCAATTATTGCATTCAGTTTGTTCTCCCTTCCCCCCGCAACCTACGATTAGCACGGTTGGCTACGAACGTTGCGAAAGGAGTTCAACATACATACGTACGTATGGACGGACGATGGCTTCCAAGCCGAGCAGTCGAACCCCTCTGGGGTACCGCCACCAGCATGCTCTTCCTTAGCGCTTCTCTGTCACAGGATCCGGCTACACATGACTGACCCCACTACCACCGCACGGCTTGAGGATGCCATCACGTTGACCCCTATATGTCGAGACGGCGCACGGCGCCTGACGAGAGATCCGTAAAGTCTTGCTACGTGTCCTTAGGAGTCTCATCCGGAAGGTAAAAGCGATGGAACATGGAGCGGAGGAGTTTGCTTCAGGAGATCCTCGAATATCCCCCCTCCACCCCCCCCCAGCTGCTGCTGCTGCTGCTGCGTGAACCTTCTTAGCTCCCGATACGGACATCGGTGGAACACGCCGGGAATCTCCCAACTGTTTGCCTGGGGACGAAAAGCTCTTGAAGGGCAGCACTCTTTATGAGCGTGGGCCTCTTCCACTTGACCGAACCGTGAAGAACGCCAGCTTCCTCATCCATTGCGGGTCCCCAGGAATCGTCAAAACCCGTAAGCGAGACGGAGCCCCTCGTGCACACGCCCATGGAATCCCGCTGCAATGGACCCTCGGGGACGAGTAAAGCTGCAACCCGTCTCTTCGTTATGCACAAAGGTCACTTACGGTCGTTTTAACAGATCCACTCAGACCTGAAATAAGTAATATATCAAAAACTTTTTTTAAACACGCTTTTATGAAATGTACTAGTAATGGCAGAACTCCACGACTCCAGGAAGTGGCCCCGAAGCTTGCCATAACGTAAGGAACCGTGGTCACATACAGCCAACGTCAGTTGACTGTGGACAATTAGACCCAAGCCGAAACATAACATATAAAAAATAATGTTTAAAAATATACTTTTTTTTATGCTAGAATATAGTATTGTCATCAGTATGACATAAGTATACCAAGTTTGCAGTCGATATCACATTGGGAAGTGGGTTAAAATTGAGTTACAAGATTTGAGGATACAACAACAACAACAGATAGAGTGAGTTAAAAGAAAGCGTTTAAAAATAGATCTGCGTGTGGTCATGGCGTCCGTGCTCCTCTGTTCATAACGTGCCGGGCGCTTTTATTTGTTAAGGATGCACCCAAGTGCACGCGTGGCGATTGCGGAGACTACCCACACGGCACACTTGTTCTCATCGATTGCTGGGGTGAGTTCTGTTAAGAAAAGCACATTTGTAATGGTGGCACAGCACAAGACGAGGGTCCACACCTCGCCATCCTTGCTCGTGTTGACACAAGGGTGCGACTTGTAACTCGCGCCAGGCCGGGTAAACCGACCTGAAGCCTCGAGCAAGGTTTCACAAATCAAAATTGCCAATACCCAAACAACAAGAAATCTGGGTCACCAGGATCGTAGCAGAGTGCACTAAATCAAACCAACAAAGACCCCCCCCCCACCCCCCGTATAGCCTTAACAGATTGTTAGGGCAAGTGCTGTTAGCGAGCACCTATGAAGGCCGACACCGTCGCACACGACGGGGTGGGTGGCCAGCACCATGCCCGACCGCCTTTGTCTCCCGAGTGGCGATGTTGACACACCGCACCAGCTACTCAGTTGAGGCCGAGACGGCCTCGGGGAGGAGGCCCGGGACCGGTTCAGATAATCGCCACCGATGTTGGCCGTGAGCGGGAATCGAACCCGGGTCGCCGAGTTCGTAGCGCATGTGCACGAACCGATACACTACCGCTCACACACCTTTCCCTTTGGCGCATGTTTCCCCTTTGAATAGAAGCATCCTTATATTGTAACACAATCGAAATTATTATTATTGCTGTTGTTTTGTTTATCTTGGTAATGTCAACGAAGCCAGCTATCCTGTCATTGTGCTCAGCGGCGTGCGCAGTTAGCGTCAACATTTGGGCCGCAACTTCAGCGGCAGCTTTGAGGACAGGTAAGGGAGACTGGCGTAACGGCCGTGCGTGCGCGTGCGTGGGAACCCATGCGTGTGTGTACATACCCGTGCATGCGCACGTACCCGTGCGTGTGTGTGCATACCCGTGCGTGTGCATGCGTACTCGTGCGTACGCATGCGTACTCGTGCGTGTGTGCACGTGCGTACTCGTGCGTGTGTGCACGTGCGTCGCGTCTCTGAAGCAAACCTCTGGCGAGGGATAATCTCAGAGCGCAGTAAGAATATTATTTCTGGCTTCAGTCCCGAAACGCACGGTCGCGGGCCAAGGACTGCCGGGGCATGAGAATCGACGGCGGCTAATTGAATTGGCCCATGCGACGTTGCGTCTGGAATGCACTGGCACGCCGGAGGGCCGCGAGCACCCGACACGCGTCCATTTTGTGGTGGCACCCGAGAACCGTGAGGGGAGGGGGGGGGCAGTGACAGACTGAGCACCGTCACAAAGCAGACACGTGATTGGCCCCCTGCTATCAAGGGGAAGTGGCTCTGCTCCGAGTAATTTAGGACAACAATTTGAAAGGGAAAAAAAACTCCATGACAAAAAGGGGGAACCAGCTTGGTTATTTATGCCCCGATGATAGCCCGAAATCCCCAATCGCACCCCCATCACAACCCTGCCATCGTCAGGGCCACTACCACCCTCTCCATCCACCACAAAACCGTAATTAGTTTTCTCCTGCATACACTCAGGGACCCCCCCCCCGCCCAGCCTCCGTTAATCATCCGTTCAGCACGCCAAGCCTCGGGTCCTGTCTCTGTAGCTCAATAATCCATCAGCTCAGCACAAAGGCTGTGTGTGTGTGTAGCTACAGCTAAAGCCACAGCTCAGCCCAGAGACCCCATTTATTGGGACGTTCATACACGAGCCTGAGCAATGCGAGTCCACTCCGTTTCAAGTTGGAAATGGCTGCGTAAAAAAATAACAAAACCACTTTAACACCCGTACGACACACGCTGGACTACTGCACATTTGACCACTTTCCCAGCACAATTGCAACAGTCGCGGTCTGGTAATGCCAGACCCTGTCACACAAACCCATCGCGCTAACATCCAGCGGTGTGCGACATCAACAAATAAGACATCGCGACAAGTTTATGGGTAGACTGAGCCGAGGCGACCCTCCTAGCCTATCAATGCAGCCTGCATTAAGTTCACCGCGGTGGCGAGATGTTAACTCCCTCGCCTGGTATGCAGGAAGTTGTGGGTTCAATCCCAACGCATGCTGTATATTTGGAGTTGGCGTGTTCTCTCCCCATAGCCGTGTGTATTTTTCTCTGAGTCCTCCGGTTTTTCCCCTCCACATTTAAAATCAACATCATGAGTTTTAAGTATTTGGCTGCTATACATTTTCACGTAATAGGCCACTCCGTTGAGCTATCATTTGAGATAGCCAGGTCGATTCTGAAAAAAGCTACATAGCCCAGTGGCCCTTATCTGGTAAAACAAAAAAAGCCCCCGTTATAATAAGAATCTCAAGACAATATACAGGGAATCACGATTATTATATTAAACATGAAATAGCATAGAGACTTGCCGCAGTGACCGAGCAAACAACAGTCAAATAAACAAATGAAATTTGAAAAAATATTAAAAAACCAAAACAACCAGCCGGATATATATTCCTATATCCAACAAGGTGTAAATAATAGTAATACATTAATGATGAACGCCTGCTGGGATAAGTGGACCATGTTACTCAGCACTCAAGGGAGATGCCATGTTGTAGTGCAGGGGTGGGGAACGTCCGGCCCGCGGGCCGCATGAGACCCGCAAAATCATTTGGTGTGGCCCTGCCAAGGCAAACCGCAGGTGGGACTCGAAATTCAATCAATCTAGGAGCAAACCTGGAAAAGCAGTTGCGAGAAGCAACATCATCAATACCAGCCAACATCACACGCCTCGCCAAAGAGAAGCAGTTCCAGCCATCACATTAGGGGTGAGTTAATTAAATGCTTGACCAAATATAGCGAACTAATTTTTAAGTTGATAATTTTGCATGGCCCGCGAATGATGTTATAAATATCCAAATGGCCCTTGGCAGTAAAAAGGTTCCCCCCCCCCCCCCCCGTAGTGGGTAGCACAGTGGACGAGCACTCGGGAAGCCACCAGTGCGGTTGGATCCCCCAGGGCGGTCAACTTTGTCCGTCCACCCAGCAGTACGAGTGGGTTCACTCACTGCAGTCGGCCAAAGGGGCAGGTCGTGCGTGGTGGGGTCGAGGTGTGGGTTAGTCTCACCTCTTGCCAAATGGCTGGCCAGTTTGGAAGAGTAGACCAAACATCCCCTTAGAGGAGCTCCCCAGAGTTTGCTATAGTGGCGGCCCCTTCTTCATAATCAAGTATTTTTGGGTTGTATCGCGTAAATACAAATGTGTCGTTAACCCCGCAACTACCCAACCTTGCTAATTAGTTAGGTTTGTCACGTAAAAGAAAATGTGTCAATTAGTTACTTCAGCATATCAGTGTGTTGTAGAGGAAACTCAATACCAATTACTGCCCTCCCCCACCCCCTACGAGCAGACTAATGCCCCAGACTCATCCTGGTCTACTTTAAAAAGTAGATCCGAAATGTTGAGTATTTTTTCCAGATTATTATTATTTTTTGCTCCGGGCTCCAACAGTATAAACGCGACCGCAGCCCGGCCACACAGGGTGGAGAAGCGGCATGGGGCGGTACCTGGTGGTATTTCTTGAGGACATTGTGCATCTCGGCCACGTCCTCGCTCACGATCGTCTTGATGACGAACTTGCGATCGTAGGTGGTGAGGAAGCGGGCGCTGCTCCGGCCTTGCGCGTCAATGCACACGGGCGCGCTCCGAATCACCGAATTCTGAAACATCGTTGCACAAACACGGGGGGGGGGGGGGGGAGGGCAAGATATTTACTACGCACAACTATTTACCCACGTGGACAACTTTGACGCACCACCTTCAAATTTTTTTCTAAAGGCAGAGAGAGAGGCACAACGAGGCAAACTTCTCCCAATGTATGTAGGTTGAACTTCTTTCGCGCCGTACTATAGCCAACCTCGCTAATTGGAGGTGCGGGTAAGTGCATTGCTCGTTCATATTGTCCGTGTACAAGTTTAAAAAGGACATCTGAACCCCTTCACCAGGCCCTGTCGCGCCATTCTCGGGCTTTTGTTGGCAGAATTTCTGCACCCCCCCCCCCCCCTCATCTTCTTGTTCTGTGATCGGTGCTCTGGTACCGGGCTTGCGTTGAGTTGAAATAAATAAAAATTGAATACAAGAGCATCTGAAACAAGTGGGCACAGCACCCATGCGTACACACGAAATAAAGACAAAGATCCCTTGTATAGGCTTAACAGACTGTTGGGGCAAGTGCTGTTAGTGAGGACCTATGAAGGCCGGCACAGCACAGAGGGGGGTGGGTGGCCAGGACCACGCCCGGCCGCCTTTGTCTCCCCAGTGGCGATGTTTACTACACACCGCACCAGGTACTTATTTGGCCGTGAGCGGGAATCGAACTCGGGTCACAGCTGGGTTCGTAGCGCAGTACGCGAACCGCTACACTACCACTCCCCACACACACGCGCGAATATGCGGATGCTCGCAAGCGCTGACCAGCAGCGTGTACGTGCACACACCTGGACTGGGCCGGAGGCAACGCTGCAGGCCACAACACAATTCCCTCTCTGCTCCTTCACACTCGCCCGCTCTGCTTTGCATTCCGCCCCTAACTATAGTCTCTTCTCCCCAAGCCCTGACAATAATAACCTTTGCTCAATTCAAGAAACGTTTTACAATTCTGATCTAATCCAACGATGACTCTGGTTGCTGTTGCGTTGCTGGCCACCCAGCGTTTTCAGCCTTTGGGCCGACTGTGCTCTGCAACCGTGCGAACAAAACAAAAAATTGGTGAAAATGTCCTCAGGATTAGAACGCGCACTGGAAGCCAACGTAGATTGCCAAGACGACAGAGGCAAATAGCACGTTAGCCACCTTGGAGTTTCTCACACAGGGGGACATTTATATATTCGGTCAAATTACATAAAACCAAACTATTTTAAATGTCTCCTATTTCAGAAGCAACCTGGCCAGGAATGATAGTTCAACAAAGTGGCTTGTCATCACGTGGGAATTTATAGCAGCCCAATACTCTAAATGCGTGATGTTGATTCTAAATGTGGAGGGAAAGATCAGAGGACCCGGAGAAAAATCCACGTGACCACGGGGAGAGAGATGCAAATCCAAATATACAGCAGGCGTCAGGGCTTTGGGATTGAACTCACAAACTCCTCTATGCCAGGCGAGAAAGTTAACATCTTACCAACGTAGCTCTCGATCACAACCTTTTTGGCCCACACAGTACCTTCAAATATATGGTTGTATGAAATGGAACCTATAAAAAAGTTCTAGTTGTGACATGTGGAAACTAAAATCTCTTACCACCTAGATTTTTACTGCTCTCCCATCATTGCTCATTTGATCAGGAACACATTTCATATCCCAAAATATTTTATTTTAGAGCCTGCTTTTGCACGTATATTTCATAGTGTCTTGAGACCATTTGTAAACCCACTGTTGTTGGATGAAGGCCCTCCATATGCCATGTTGGTAATTGTGGTAGTTTGACCATACTTCACCACGTTAGGCAATGTAAGGTTATGATAATTCGGGGACGCCGGATTGGCTTAGATTTCACGAGTGACGGATATTAGCCGTAGTTGGGAATAAAACTCATGTATAACTGGTTTCAGAGCTCAGTGCACAAACCACTGTGCCACTGGCTCACTGCTGTGCCTCCTTGCCTATTCAGTGTGTTGTCTTTTCTGCAGGCTTTGACATCTATTAATGGTGGCTGCTATCACTGTGTTCGAGCACGCTCCCTCCTTGTAATCTGAACGTTCATAGAGGCAAACTCAAATCTGTGGGCAACTCAGCCCATCAAAATTGCCCACGAATAACGCTGCGTGGGAAGTCAACCGCAGTTCTCCTACCGGCAAGACTGACTCCCACCATAGGAATGTGGAATTTCCACCACTCGCTCAGGGCTGTCAAGGGTCATGAGCACCGCCCACCCCTCCCCCTCATGTGAACTGCTTTTGTGTTTGTACACCTTTTGGCGTCATCTGGTCCAACACCAGTGGAGACAAGGCTCTAAGAAAAGCCGTCTCGGGTGTGGAACAATCAATTTCAAGGACAGTGCATATCATTACCAGAGTTGTCTATTTTTGTTTGCATTTTGACTGCTTGTGTTGTAGTTATTGCAAACATGATCCCTTGTATAAAGGTGTCAGTTTTGGTGCCAGATAAAAGGGTAAAAACCTATTACTATATTTTTGTGTTTAGTTCGTTTGCCTTACCCCCGCACCTCTGATCAGCATGGTTGGCTACGCACGGTGCGAAATAAGTTCAACATTCGTACAAAGCCGTACCAGTCCTCCCGAAACAGGGAATGGACTATTCTATTATTGCAAATGGCAGCAATAGGTGCAGGAGCTGAATACAATTGTTGAGAGGTCTGCCAGCCACGAGAGGGCTTCAATGGGGAGACCATCTGCCCAGCTTGTTTTGTGTACGTTGTTGCACCAAGAACTGCAATTCTATTATATATATTTTAAAAGGAGACCTATAAACACACTATTTATATCCCCCACCCCTTCTGATATGCTTGAGTTGAAGTAAAAAGCTTACTATCCTAGTTACAATCTCGCAATGTCTTAAGTTAAGCCAGGCATAAGATTTGTGTAAGCTTAGAACAAACATGCTCACGCACGCGTGAATAAATTTGTATATATAAATATAATGAAGAAACGAGTTAAGTATTTGAGTGACTGAGAAAGTAAACACATTTCTACGTTATTTACCACATCTTTTCAGCTAAGTGCTTTTCCTAATGCGGCCGTGCACCCCCCCCCCCCCCCCCCCCGTCGAGGGAAAATAAAAATGTTCCACATCCCTTTCAGCCAATTGTCAAAGTGCTCGGAGAACACACAGCAGGAGCTGTCACGTGCCAAGCCATCTGGAAGTGCAGAGAGAGCACAAAGATGACAAATAACTCTTGAGCACTCTCCGCGAGCCCGGTGCCCACGTTCAAACTACCGGCTGGGAGATGTTAACTCCCTCGCCTGGTATGCAGGAGGTCATGGGTTCGATCCTGACCCTAACGCTTCAAAGCGTTAACCTCATCGTCACGGCCACGCTGTGCCGAGGGAACGAGCGGAATCACTTCTTAGTCGGGCCTAAATAACAACTGATTAAAATTATGTATGTTGAACTTCTTTCGCACTGTACGTATCCAACCGTGCTAATCGGAGGTGTATGTTGAACTTCTTTCACGCCGTACTTGACCAACCGTGCTCATTGGATGTGCCGATTTCGCTATTTTAAACTTCTGGCTCTAGCCGCGATGCCGGGACGTGAAAGTGTTGGCCCTGCAAGATCCCCCACCCCCGTCCATCCGAACCGGATAACCTTCAAGTCCTCTTCTGGACCTGGATATTACTTTGAGTGAGATGTACGTACACGAGTGGTCCTTTTAAAGCACACTTGGGTGTTAAACAACATAAGTGCTACGACCGCCTTCATCAGCACTGGATCCACAGTCGCCATGCGGATAACATCAACAAACCCTCAGGCCACCTCCAAGAGCTGCCAAGGGGGATACATCTGCCATGGTCCACTACTTTTGCGCACGGAGAAAAGTTGCCCTCACAGAGTGCGACATCCGCCTATGCGCTGTAAGATGCAAAGACGAAGCTGTACGTTTGACTTGGGTCAATTGCAGCAGATTCCCTCCCCGGTGCCGTTTGAACACCAGACAACAGTGATAGACTTTTGGTCCCGAAGAAAAGTCTAACTTGGATTTGAAAAAATAAACTATAATAAACTGAATCTATATCGCATGTGTTTAGTCTTAAGTGTACTTTGTTTAACTGTGTGTGAACGAACTCAATAGACCATCTAATTTGCAAGAGTGACCTGGGGTATTAATCTTGCCAGGAAGGCAGCGGGGGGGGGGGGGGGGGGGTGATGATTGCTACTCCTGTGCATAATCCCAATTGAATAATCTGCTGCGTTAATGTTCAAATCTGGCCTGGCGCGTGCCACTCCATTTTGTGCGCACTCACATTGAAAGGACTGCACGCTCCATGCACTCCACCGCACGGCTCATTGAGCAATGCATCGCTGACTGTTCGATAGTCCAAGTTTCGTGTGCGAGGGGCATGTGTGCTGTTGTCTTGACGTGTGTGGTCTGGGACTGTTGTTGTTGTTGTTGTTGTTTTGGTGCTACGCCCCATGCTGGCATTCAGCGTTGAATAATCGGCGGAAAATTCCGTACTTGCGCAATTTGTACTTATCACCAAAACTTAATTTCTTTTTACTTATTTGTCGTGACATGCTTACTCTTTCCCTCCACTGCACTCCTATCGTGTGTTTTGTTTTTGTTGTTGCAACTTGCTGACCCCCGTGCCCCATGCTGGACACGCCTGTGTAAACGAGCTTCGTAGCTCGTCGGATTCCTCCGGCAGTCTCAATCAAGATCCCGATTCGGACTGTCACACAAGGCAATCCGTATTTGTGTAACAGCTAAGAGGCTGGCTTGACACGTAGGCCTTTCACGACCAATATTATTCGTAATAAAGGTTTTGTTGGGTTAGTTCGCGTAAATATAAATATGTCAATTAGTTACGAGCTCAGCCCACCGGTGTGGAGAGTAAACCCACAGCATTTATAATTTGAGTACCCAAAGCTGTCCAGGTTCAAAGGTGTATGACACGACAAACCAAAACGCCAGATCAATGTGCTTACATCTATATTCCAGAGCACCTTCAATAACCTGAGGCACAGTACCATCGCTGTCCTG